AATATTAGTAAATCACTAGCCTGCGTAACAAGCTTTTTTACGTACGAATCGATTGGACGAGGGCGTAAGTTGCGCAGGTTTGTAAATCACAGTTATATATTGGAAGTGTGAGTTACGCCAAGAGAGAACAATGCGAAATCGACTTCTCTTTGAAAGACAGGAAGAAAATGTTTGTCTCTTCAATGAGGAAGGGAAGGTTAAAAAAGTTTTAGACTCTAGGTTATTTGTCTTCCCATTGGTGTCTCTCACGCAACCTGTCCCTGCTGGCAGAGACCGCGCTCTTTTCTTCTTTTCGCTGGCGCAAAAAACAGGCGGTCTTTCCCTGAGGCCCTCGATACACACTGTCGATAAAATTTCGACAGGCGACACTTAAGGCAAATGAAATGGTAGCTTGGGACAAGGCTCCGCAGTGGAGAAAAAAGGCAAAAACGGGGTAATTTTTTTCCTTTTTCCCCCAATGAGGAGCCTGGTCCCAGGCTACTGAAATGGCCAGAAATGACTCAAAAGATGAGCTGAAATTGCAACTGTGGCAAAGAAAAGAGCAAATAAAAAGCAAAACAGCAACAAGGACATGGTCGACTTCTGACTGGGCCCCAGGGCCCCAGGGTGGTTAACCCTCCCAGCTGGAAAAAGTTCCAGTCTTCTGATGCCCTAAGCGGCCAATATGGCTGCCAACACAGCTGTTCGCATGAGTTGGATCAAAAAACGGCTAATTTCCAAACATATCGCAGGTCTAATGTTTTTTTCCAGTGATTTATCAAGTCTAACAGATTTGGTTTTTTATTTCGAAATTCTATTTACTTTTATCAGTAGGTGGATTCCGGTTGTATCGATGTTTCTCCTTGGCAAGCAGTCCATTGAACTCCACTCTTCAAGAACATCTGGGTAATAGGATCAAGGTAAAATTTTTGGAATGTTTTATTAGCAGAAAGGTCTATGTTCTTACACAGCTTGAAGGCCTTATTGAAATGTGGAGATTACTAATAAGTTAAATCTAAAAAGTAACGTAATGATTTATTTCTATATATCAGCTGGGAAAATTGACTGAGGGACATCCCACTCTGAGGGGGACATTGGGGGGTACCCAATACCGCAATACCGTAAGCAAAAATGGCAAATACCGAAATACCGCGTCGAAAATCGTCTAAATACCGATACCGCGTATTTTAATCACATTTATAATCGGTTCCGCATACTTATGGTTGCTTCCATCTAGCGCGTTTAATTATCTCAGGCATTTATGCACCAGATGTCCATGTATTTTTTAATATTTTGGTAAATTTTAGCTGAAAAGTAAACTACATTCGTTCAACCTTTTGGTAGGTCGACCCAAAATCTAAATAACTCCAATAAAAGTAACTCTTGAAAGCGCGAAAAACAAACCAACCAGATCCCTTTCCACGCACGTCTAGTGCGAGTTTTGATAAGGGACGGACCATTAGAAAACTTATTGGGGGGGCGGAGGGGGGGGGGGGCGTGCGAAGTACAAAAAAAATATTCGCGGAAGGGAAAATTAAGTGAAAAAAAATTCTCGCGCGCCAATTAACCCTAAAAAATATTCATGCTATGGCCTAAAAGAATTCATACAAGGAATTTGATAACGAAAAAAAATTCCTGCGGCTCGAAAATTCCCCCCCCCCCCTATAACTTTTCTAATGGTCCGTCCGTAAGTAAGTCTAGTCTAGCACGTCAGTCTCTCAGGGGTCAACTATCTCGACTGTCTAACACGCCGTGCCAGTAAGAGGCAAACTGACCAAATTTTCTCTTTTAACTTTACAAGGCGTTTTTCAATTCTCGAAACCCGACATCTAAACTTATTCTTGTTGCGATAGTGTTCGCCTCCTTTGCCCTCTTTAAAAAAAAAAAATTGCCACAGAGTCAATGATGACCACGCCGTCTTCAACCACAGTGACCTCAGCCACTGTGAGAAAACGTGTAAGACCTCGAATTACTGGCAAAGGTACACAGATCGAAAAGCCTGGTAAGGTAACTTGAGAGGACTCATTATCATTGGATGCAACAACAATCACATTGTATATTATCGACCGTTTAATGATCGATATACAGTGAAACCTGTATTAAGCGGACACCCTCGGGGAATGCTGTAGTGTCCGCTTAATACAGGGTGTCTGCCTAATACAGGTTTCGATAGATAATGTCATATGAGGTGTCAAATGCCATTCACATGAACAGTGGAAACGTTTAGAATATCCCCAGAGACTATGACGATATACGTTTGCACAAGAGACTATAAAGGGGACAGAGAGGGCATCCCCCATATACACCCTATTCCATAGGTAATTCGTCTCGAGTTATTTTTAGAATCGGCATAAAGTTACCTCGCGCGAGGCGTGGATGTTTCGTGGATGTTTCGCATGACCAAACGCTGTGCAAAACATGTCGGGCGAGAGGCAATGAAAGCGTAAAAAGATCGAGAGTATTCCTGAATATTGAAGCGAAATGAGTCGGCGCTCACCTGGGAAAAAGGAATCGCTGGACTCTTTGACAACCTGTGAAATCAGTTTAACTCGAAGTTGTCGTAACCTCAGTGCTTTAATAAAATGAGAAATTTCGCCGGTCTATTGAAACCGGTCGTTTGTACAATTTAGGGAGTTTAAGATCCAACTTCGCACGTGCAACACACTTTTTTGTTCATTTCTTTCCCGTTTTTGCACGACTACGACGTGAAAATGCCTAATTTCGCGTTTTATAGAGGACGTAAACAAGCAACGACGAAATTTTATTTCTCTTTCTGAGCTTGAATATGGTCCCTTGAAATTCAGCTTTAGGAGGGTTCGCCTACAATTGACAAAGTAAGTGGGTAGGAATAATCGCTATAAAGACTGAAAAAAATAAACATCAAACCAGAAATTGCTCTCTTCAAACTGTAAATTATAAATGATCCTGAGAGAATATTCAGTGTGTTATTTCCCTGCTCTACTGTTAGCTCTAGGGCGATTCTTTTTTAATTTCGGTTTCGCTGACACAGCTTTCGCAGAAATCTCGCTGTAGTCGTTTTCGTCGACAAAAGGAATGGCAAAATCCCTCTCCGCGTCTTCCCCCATTTTGTTCTGCGTCATTTCGTGAAGGACGCGTGGCTCTCAGCGTGGGTCATCCACGCGGAACACATTCGCGCTATGTGATTGGCTGTTGTCTAATCCCCCTTGAGATCTGTGGTGTTAAAAATAACTCGAGACAAATTACCTATGGAATAGGGTGTGTATGGGGGATGCCCTCTCTGTCCCCTTTATAGTCTCTTGGTTTGCATTAATTTCTTTATTAAAGTGGACCAATTGATCATAGTACCAAAAACATATGTTACAACTCAAATTTGAGGAAATCAGATGAGTGAAACTAGCTCTATAGAAACAAAACGAAATAGAGAACTATACTGTACTGTGAAACTAATCAAACTCAAATAAGTTCGTCAAGTCACGTTTTTTAATGTAAAAATCGAAAAAAATTGAGGGTGGCAATCTTTCGCATTTCCGGCGTCTGGCATGTTGGGTGGTGGATTTAATTACAAGTGTCCGTTTAATACAGGTTGGCAACAATAGAAATGACCATTTCAGGTACTTTTTAGGTCTCCGCGTCCGCTTAATAGAGGGTGTCCGCTTAATACAGGTTTCACTGTAAATAAACTGTCACAAAATGACCCACAAATGGTGTAATCATTTACAGTTATGTCTCAAGACTTCTAAATATTAACTTTTATTGGCCTTTATGTCCTAATGTGTTTCGTTTTGCGTTTTGTATCGAAAGGAAAGCGCAAATAAACGGTACCGTAATACCGTGAACAATCTTATTTCACCGAATACCGTCAGCCGAAATGATGAAAAACCGGATACCGCAGAGCTAGATGATACCGCAATACCGCACGTTAAATTTGAAATTACCGAAATACCGCATGAAAAAAAGCCCAATACCGCAATACCGTAAACCCCCATGTCCCCCTCCACTCTTTATATATGCAGGTATTAATATTGAGAGATGGAGAGCGGGGGTGGGGGAGGGTTCGGGCATAGGTGTGGCATTCAAAAACGTCCTTTGTCCCCTCTTTGGGGATTTAAACCTCAATTTTTTCCCCAAACTGCAGTTTTGTTAACCCCAGAGAGGGATACTTTATTAGTGGAAATACCTTTATCGCAACAACTAGTGAAGCTACGACAGGGCAGCCATGTGAATAAAACTGAAACCAGCCAATAGGTAAAAAAACATATGGGAAACCAAACAAAGAAATACACAAAAATAAAACAGCGAATAATTAAAATTTTCCAGGCTGGAAGTCGGACCCTTGACCCCCCCCCACCCCCCCCTCCCGACCTACAACGTGTAAGGTCATCTCCTAGAGGACTGCGCCACCTCAGCAAGTGTTAAATAGAGGAGGTAAATTATTATCTTTAGCATTTTCCCCCATGAAATTCTGCCAGTAGGAGCTGTTTGAAGCTGGTGGAGCTGAGTTTATCAAGAATTCAAGGATATTATGCTACCCCCTGCCCCCCTTGTCCAAACATCGATACCTGCATTATGTTCAAAGACAATACTGCTACCCTTTTGAGACCAAACAGCAAATAAGTCTACCCTATTCCAGACTACTGAACAACTATAAATTAGAAACTCTGATTCTTTATACCACTTTTCAATTCCAAAACATGATGCCGGTCCAGATCTCTGCATGATTTCTAAATCCTAACCCCACTAACTGTTGTACTGCCCTAAACCAAAAGTCAAGCCTTCACTTTGGCCTAATAATGAGGTCTTCTATGTGTATAGCCTTCTAGCAGGCTCACTTGTTTGGGGGCATACATGAGTATCTTGGCAGCAGAGCCGGCAAAGCTGGTGAGAAGAATGGCCGCCAAGATACTCGCGGGTGACCCAAACAAGCAAGCCTGCTAAAAGGCTACTATTTATGCATCAGAGGTCATGGCCAGATGGCCAGGAGGACTCTACTATCCTTGGCTTTATTAGCCATTATTCTACATGTAAGTTTGGAGCTATCTGTAGTGATAAACCAGTCTTTGCATTCACAGGCATCAGGTCCACTAACAGTTGCTGCCTTTATGCAAGAAGTCTTAACAAATCCACTGTCAGTAAGTTAAAGTGCACAACCTGTTTTGTGTATGTCATGCTTGCACCCGTCTAGATGATCATTGCAATAAACTTATTTTGATTCCATTATCTTTGCGCCTTTACTGATGTGGTTATAAAAATTTATTCCTAGATACTAATAATAAGATACAATCAAGCCTCCATGTGCAATCACTTCTTGTAAGCGACCACCTCCCAGAAATGACCTCTTATCCAAAACTCCAAATTTTTCCCACTTTTAGTCCTATAATTAAAACTTTTCATAATGACCACCTTCCATTAAGTGATTGCAATCACTATTTGGGCTGACAGTTTTTGATTTTCCATTGACCTCTTTGTGACCGCTTTTTTGTCATATTTTCATGCCAGGGGTACTACATGAACAGTGATGTATTTGGTCAGGCTGGTGATTTTATTACATCCCCTGAAATTAGCCAGGTTTTTGGAGAGGTACAGTATCAGTTAAGTATTGCTTGACTAAACGTAGATAAAACTCCATCCATCTATTTGTGTTGGAATCTAAATTACTTATTAAGGTTATAAGCCACCATATGAAAGTACTTGGTAGTAGAGGTTTCACTTGAAAGGTCACACCAAAGGATTTTGTTTTATATATATTGTGTTTTTAAAGCTTATAGGTGTATGGTTTGTAAACCAGTGGATACTGTCAGGAAAGAAGAAAGTCCAGCTAATTGAGCTTGGACCTGGTAGAGGAACCCTGGCTTCAGATATGTTAAGGGTTAGTAATTAATACTTTAATAATGCAATGGTTGACCAAACTTTGATTGGGTTAATCACCCTTCATATGCTAATTAAAGCACTTATTCTTCTCAGAGCATACTGTGAAATTCTGAAAATACACCCCTTTCCATTTTTATAAACCCCAAAGACAATAAAATGGCTTCTGCAAATTAAAAAGCACCAGGGATCTTTCTAATATTAAATGGGAATTGTCTTTGAGAAACCATACATCAGGCCCTGGTTGTTCAAAAGCTGGATAGGGCTATCCGTTGGATAAATCACTATCCAGCTGATAAGTATTTGGGAAACCAATTACACTATCCACTGAATAGAGATTTATCCATCGAATAGCGTTATCCACCTTTTGAACAACTGGGGCCGGAATGATACCAGATAAGGGTGTCATGTCATGTGAATATTGCTGTTTTAGGTCAATTCTGTGCTGAAGTCATCACTTAATAATTACTTAACCCATACTCAAAATGCTACCTGTAGAGTTATCAAGAAGTCACCACAAAGATGTTATCAGGAAGAACTTGGCGTGATAATGTTTTAGTAAGGCTTCAGTTATTTTTGCAGGCATTGCATCAAAACTTAAAAAAAGTTGGAGCAACCTTTTCACAGTCAAAAAAGTCCCAATCAATATTTAAGTGACTGATCATGAGACAAATAATAAACAAACCCTTTATACAATGCAGTCCATTCAATTTTACGAAGTTGAACTATTGTTTTGATGTTAGGTATTCCAAAAATTTCCTGAGCTGCATGGTAAAATTTCTTTACACCTTGTTGAAGTAAGTCCAGCTTTGAGTAAAATCCAAGAACAGACACTGACTGGCAAATTATTATCCATTCAAGAGGGCAAGAAAGAAGGACAAACTGATGCAAAAGATGACAGACTACAGGCAAACGAGGTACAGCACAGGATCTTAATCTTAAAAGTATCTCATTCTGCAACAACTTACTCAAGAAAGAAAGTAATAATAAATTATTAAAACCTCTTACATAATAAAAAATTGCAAGTTATTCATTTTGTTCAGTTTAGCACTTGCATCAAAATATAGTTTTAAAGTAGTTGACAATGACGATGACCAGAAATTAAAATTAACTAGCAAATAATTGCCCTGTCTTCACTCTTCACTATCCTCTATTAAGTATGTCAAAAAATTATTTATGTAAAAATTACTGCAGACTGATATGACCTTGATTTGTTATTTTCAGCATAATAAATAGGATATGCATCAGATCACAGGAAAAAATAAAGGATTTCCATTTTTGGATATTTTAGGATATTTAAAGAATACCCACAAAAATCCCAAATTTGGAAGAGTGAGACAAGTCCCAATCAGGGAACTTGGTTGGGAATTCCCTGGTTGGGACTTGTCTCGCTTTCCCAAATTTGGGGTTTTTGTGGGTATTCTTTAAATATCCTAAAATATCCAAAAATGGGAATCCGTTATTTTTTCCTGTGGATGCATGGTGATGAAGTAAACACTAATAGTTCTTTTTACTAATCTGCCCCTTAGGGTGCGCCAAAACCTATGTTCAATTGTCCGGGATAGATAGAAATTTAGTTCAGGCATGTATTCTAAACCTTTGACAAGATTTGTTCTTGGGCAAAGCACATTTTTAATAGAAAAAGTGTACAGAAACAGTTGAAAATTGACTTCAAATTACAGTAGAATTTATCTTATAGTCATAAAAGCAAACCTCATACTTGACAAAATAAGGTGAAATATTCTTTTTGACTTTGCCATTCCGCAACCATTTCATTTGATTTAATGAGCTCCAATAAGACCATTTGACTTACGAACCTGGCAAAACTTTTGGACAAGAACTCTTGGGTTTGGGACAACCAAATTTAATATAGTGCTTGTCCAAGGGCCAAGGCTGGCAGGTTAATCTTTTATTTAAGCAATATCTTTCTTTTTTCATGTTGCTAAATGTAAAGGAAAAAAATTTGTGATTTCAATTTTAGGATATGTCAGCACTGTGTTATAGAAGGTGCATAACACAGGATGGTATTCCCGTGGCATGGTACAGAGCAGTTGAGGATGTCCCCGTTGAAGGAAACTGTTTTTTCTTGGCTCATGAGTTCTTTGATGCTCTTCCAGTTCACCAATTTCAGGTTTGTTTGTATGTTTCACTGTTGTAAGTAGTTCGAACCCAGAAGTCATATGATTGTCTGGAGGAGTGTTCCAGAGTTTACCATGAATAGGACTCTTCGTGACACAGGGAGCCTGGGCTGTGTGAACGGTTGAAGGGGGTGTGTTGTACTCGATGTTTACCATAATTGTACCCTTCAAATGACTAAATTCACTGTTATCAGCTACACAACATTTCTGGCAGTACATAAGTTTATTATAAATTCAATCATGAACAGTCACACAGTTTTTCTGGGATCTGTTGTGAACGATCTAGTCGGCAAATAATGGAAGATTACAACGGATTCAACCTTGGACGATGGCTTTATTTCGCCTACACGACTCGTCGTTCCTAATCCTATAGTCAGGCGTTCCAATGCCCTACTCAGGGGGAGTCTGGGTCCTAATACACAACAGGATCCTTTGTTGGTGATGGTCACTGACTCTTCAATAGCCTGTGTGGAAGTCATGTAACCTACTCACGGCCTGTTTTCTCACTCTTGAGTGCGCGTGTAAGGAAATATATAACTATGAACCGCGGAGATTTATTTACAGCAAAACAAAGAAGATTTAAAAAAGGATTCCTGATTGCTAGCGCAATAGAAGTCACCATGAGGGTCCAAGTGAATTGTGAATTGTCAAAATGATCCACAACTCACTTTTACTCTAACAACAACTTCTGCACAGGTTGTTGCGAAAACGTTTTTTCAAGTTTAATTGCTGTGTCTGCAAAAATCACCAACAAAATATTTTGGTTAGGCCTCCGTGATTAGGCTGTGTCGCAGACGCTCTAAACCTTCTATATAGAGCGGACTATACAAATGGTTTTGACTAGTGCGTGGGCCGGCTGCAACGCAGGCTATCCATGATGAAATTCATTTAACATGTTCTTTATAACTCTACAGGACCATTTTTTTTGTATGGGTAAAGACACTTAGTAATGACCCTTGGCACAGAATTGATCTATAACAGCAATATCCCGGTTACATAGTCAATTTAAGGGGATACAAGGATGGCTGCTGGGACCCCAGTATCGGAGGCGTGTGTTCTGCGATCAATGTCCCGCAAACAGCTAGGATCAACATTGTCAAATTCTCCGCATCATGTGTAGCATATAATTTGACGAATTATATTTATTGTTTGTTATCTTTCAGAAAACAGATCAAGGTTGGAGAGAAGTTCTTGTAGATGTCGAACCAGGCAGTGGGTTTGTAAACTGTTAGTTTATTGTTTTCAGGACTTATATTTACTATTATTTTTAAAGTTTATGAATTTCATGATTGTATTGAACTTGCTATTGGTTTGTCGGCGTAATAAGCCACACAAGATGTTCGCTAGAAGAAAGAAGAGATGGGATTAAACAAATTTAAACTTTTTCTCAGCGTTCTCAAAAATTTTGAAGCGTTCGTTAAACGTCGTTAACTTTGTTGCATCTGTATAACTCGTCTACATCTCGCTGATTGAACTCAAATTTGTTGAGGAAAAAGGCTGCCTGTGACCATTTGACTAACGTGAGATCGGGCCCAATTTTAGCGGTTCTCATACTTTCTCTCTAACGGCTACCGCTAATTTTTGTTTCGCCTTGCCCGCCGGAATGTTATTACAAAGCGAAACGAAAATTGAGCCTGATCTCAGGTTGCCATTTGACCGTCTTGGCATGTATGGTCTCATCAGTGTTTCTGAATATGACTCAACTGTGGAGAATTTGTTTGATCGGTTTGATCGGGGCGTTAGTCTTGACGAAACGCAACTCAGCGTTTCTTAATCAGGAACTGTGTTTTTGTCAGATAGATATACTCATTTGGCGTTATACTCATTTAGCAGGAATTTCTTTTGCATTAGTTTTCTTCATGAGTTATTTATCAGTTAGAGCGGTTTTCACTTGACTGTCGAAAGGAATTGGTTTTGGTTTTGGTTTTGGTTTTACTACGCCCTTTGGTTGGCTGGTGTATTTACTTTGGTTTTGGTTTTACGACAGTCAAGTGAAAACCGCTCTAATTAGGGTTTACTGTTCTAAATTAGGCCCACACTTAACTGAGAAGATCACTTGTTTCCATCAATGTTTACAAGCTTATCATTTTTATTAGTTCCTCCTTACTGAGGTTTATCCAAGACCCTGGCCGCTCACCTAACCCTTAATGCAAATTAAAGGCCTCACTCATGATTCATTTTTAGGTCCCCTGGACTTAGATTTGTCTTAGCTCCTGGCCCCACATTAGCCTCACAGACATTGGTCCCTCCTGGAACATCATGCAGCCAGATAGAAGTGTGTCCACTTGGTGGGTCTGTTGTGGAACATATGAGTGGTGCTATAGCAAAGCAAGGGGGATGTGCCCTGATTGTTGATTACGGTGAAGATGGAAGCACAAGACACACTTTGAGGGTAAGTGGCAGCTCGGCAACCTTTGGTAATCTTCGGCTCACAATTCTACGGTGAATAATACGGAAACCGGTCGATTCCTCTGGAAGCTGATTTACACGAACTTTTGGGAACGGCCTTAGGAACGCGACAACGGGTCTAGTACTTTCAAACGTAAGGACAAACTTCCTTAAATGTTTCTGTAGGCATGGGGTGCCATACTTTGGCATATTAACCTGAAATGAGAGGCTTTTCTTGCCAAAAGCCACACATGAAAACTTGTTTAATTGTCTGTGGCTAGGGTATGAGTAAACTGAAAAGTCTGCACGAACCCAATGGCTATTCGCCTGAGCAAACGTCCTTTCGCCTGCCTGTAGGCAGTATCTGGTGGATTGCAGTCAATTTTAAGTCTTAATTGTAACTACAGAATACCCTTTGAAATCAATTCCTCTTTGCGTACTTCGATACTCAGCTTGCAGTGGCTAATTAATTGATGTTTGAAGAACATAAAATGTAATAATCAGTTGACGTAGGTTCAGACAAAAAAATGTGTTGATGAGCCAGTCAATAGGTTCGGCGAATTCATAAAAGAACAGGCGAATCGCTTTTAAGCAAATTGCCCTTGGACGAAATGGTTGCAAACTTCTAAACAAGTCTCTCTTTAATCTTCAATTTTCGCTCGGGAAATAGCAACTGTTTTTCTAGACTAATATACAATAAAAACCGGCAAATAAGAACCCGCATTTTCCTATATATCCTTAACAGTTACTTACATAAATGGTAATTTGCACACAAATTTAGTCTATTTAGGTCCTTAAAGAAGTCTTTATTTTCAGAAGAAAACAATACATTGTAGCTGAGAGTATTTGGTGGTATTCAGCTCGATTTTCAGCTCTGGAATTTACATTGCAGTTGGAGTGATAAGGCACCTATGTGAATATGGCTCTAAAGAGGATACTAAATGTTGACTTATGTTATTTGCCCAAGTGTGCAGAATTTTTTTCGCAGTTTTTAAAAAAATAAGAACCTGTTTCAAATTTTAGGCTAAACAGACTCTTGTATAGAGAGGGCCTAACTGGCAAATTTTCGCCTAACAGGTTCTTAAAAACCAGGTTCTTCCTCGAGGGTTTTTTACTGTTTTCAGTTATTATGTATTTTCAGGCATTTAAAAAACATAAATTACACGAAGTTCTGCACGATCCTGGCAGTGCTGATGTGACAGCCAATGTTGATTTTGCCTACCTGAGAAGCGTTACGCGTGGAAAAGGTTGGCATTAATTTTTCTCTCTCTCTTTTATTTTTTCGATTCGGTGGATTTTCCAAATATATACTTCCCTAATAACAAATACTGTGAAAAATGAAACCGATTCGTTTTAACGAAAATTGTTAAGTTTCTGGCTTGAAAGAAGTTGCTAATAACCGTGATCTGGAATTAGCGGCCGGAAGGGTTATTTCATCTTTGGAGTCGAGAGGAAGACACTAACTCGAAGGGAAGGGGGAGGGGGTGGGGGTGCTTATCTCTCTTTTCTCAACATGGCATTTGTCTTTGTTTTGAATAAGACAAACTAAAACAAGGGGTACATGTACACCAACCCACGGCCTGGCCAGTACCTCACGCATGCGTACAGCCATATCACCCGGGCAGTGGCAGCAATGGACAGCTGTTTCGCCCTCGCTAGGGTTCATCAGCATGGCATAGCCGTCGGGTCATTGAACGGGCGAACCCGTGTCTCAAAGACGGCTGTGCGCATGCGTGAGGTACTGGTCAGGCCGTGGGTTGGTGTATGAGTAAATGAACGAAAACAAACAGGAAAACTAGAACCTTCTTTCAGTTTTTCAGTATCTACCCAGAAGTGTGTGTGTGGTGCGTATTCTTGGCTTTGAAAGTTCTGTTGTAAGTAAGTTCTTTCGGTATCGCCTCAATTTGCTCGCCAATCGAAATGGAGAGCTTGATCGCAAGCTAACGACGCGACGGTAGTAAAGACGGCGCGCGCAGATGCGCTTATTTGATACTAGTGTACTAACGCAATAGTACAGAAAGAAGACGGCAAACCGTGCGTGACAAGCGTGACCGATAATTTGTTTGAAAAAGTTTTCCGCCAAACCTCATTTTCTATCAAACAAATCTTTTTGTAAAAGACCAGAACACATTAGTAATATGTGAAGTTCACGACAAAACACTCAAGTAATAGCCCTGTCACGTTTGTCACACACAACGTTTTGCCGTCTCCTCTGATAAACTCACAATGTTTACCCTTAAGAGGGTCGCTAGTATGAAGTGGGCGCTTATTTAAAGAAAAGGGCTAATTCGAGCAGTTATGTTAAAAACTGTAGGTAAGTTTTAATCCCAATCTTTGATTTAAAACTTCACAGTTCAGACGTTCGGACCAGTGACACAAAAGTCATTTCTTCAGCAAATGGGTATCGATATGAGAATGAAAGTAAGTGATTTAGTGATAGCAGGGGTGTATGCATTCTGTCCTGGCACTGGACATAGTCTTATAAGAGGTTGAAAAACCAATGAAGAGCTTGGTTTAATTTCTGACTTTTTTATCTTGATCCTTTCTAAGGTTCTTCTTCAAAACGCGAATCCCACTCAAGCAGAGGAGCTTCAAAGCGGCTACAGAATGCTGACAAGTAAATGAGAGATGGGAGAGAAATTTAAAATGTTTAGTCTAGTTCAACACGGTCTTCCGCCACCAGCTGCTTTCGCTTTTTAAAACAGCACAGAGGTTAGGCATCGCGGGTACTGCCAACTATAGAAATCTCCTTCCAAGCGAGTGGTTATATATTCGACGATGGTAACAAAGAAAGATACGTATTTATTGATTGAAAAAAGATTTTCTCTTTTTAAAAGTTAAAAACGGCAAAAGTTGTAAATGACTGGAAAAACAGTCACGTTGCCATTTAGTCTACCGCTGGCGTTTTGAACATCGTGGGTTGTCTCTCTAATAACCAGGAGAAAAGTAGAGATGTTTAATTTGTGCGTGACAAAAATGGCCAAAAAGGTACATTGTGCGACGCTAGCGGAGACTTGCCGGGAGGAGCTGCAGTTCTACAGCGTAGCTGCTTCGCGCAGGAATTTTCGTGAGTGGCGAATCAATTTTCCCTTTTTTATAGGAGAGATACTATTTCAAGACACTTTGAACTACGTTATTGAATGTGTTTCTACTGAAAACCAGGAAATCAGCAACCCAGTATCGAATCCAGGCCTGTCATGTGCTTACCTGTCTTCCTTACCACAACACTACCAAACCCTCGGCGGCGAAGTCCTCAGTATTTTGACTAGTTCACCTTTTATCTCCAAGTGCAAAACCCCACCAGCTACGCAGGCTAGACACACTATAGCTAGCATTTTCTATGTAAAGTTAGCACGGTTTTTCTTCACCACAATCTCAACAGTACATCACGATCACCGCACAATCCCTTTATTTAATCATCGTGGGGAGCATTCGAGAACAGCTAATAAAGCCGTGAGTGAAAATTCGTAAGGAGACTAAATGTAAATACATTGGCAATAGCATTAAAATATTCTTGAGCACTAAATATAATTCTAAGGAGGGAAAAAAGGACATAACCACTTGAATTGGAGCTGATTAGTAATGGCCGTTGAGAAGCTGCCCGCGGACTGGGTTGGTGTTGTGCCGAATTACACTATGGGACTGTGGAGGAGCCGACAGTGCTTCTTTTATAAAAAAGAGAAGTGTTGAGATTATGGGTTTGGTTGGCATCTCCAGAAAGAAGACATTGAAATCTGCAAAGCTGATCGTACTACACGACACCTAAAGAACCCAAAACAGAGTTGTTTTCGTCATATATGTTTTTTGGTAATTCATTTCTATATATTTGTTCTCTATGTTCAAGTGTTCGGAAACGTTTCGTAGTCGTATTTGTATGCTTGCCAGTAATATTGAACTTCTTGCAAGAAAGTGAAGCAACAACAAAAACAAGTTTTGCGGTGGTGAGATCTTGGCTAAAAAGCAAAAACAACAACAAGCATTTTCCCCCACGGTTGAAAATACACTCGAGCAGCTTAACACAGGCTTTATTCAAAACGCGGCATTCTTGCCTGGTTGAAAGATTTATGAACCAGCGGAAAGACGATTGTACACCTGTACACGGACGTTGCTTTATTTTTCTTTTTGATAAGCGACGTGCGCGCGCGGACGCGGGCTCGGCGGACTTTTTAAGAGAAAATAGAGGGTCTGTGAATAGGATAAGATTGCGGATGAGATTTTTGGTCGAGATTAACTCCCTACGACCACAATGCAGGTAGAGATTACAACTCTAAATAAGGCTTTAATTAGAGAAAAGGCCGTTTCTCGTGATTTTAGTTTTGTTTCACGGTGTTCAGTTGTCTTTATGATACACCCAATTCTCTCTAAGAAGGACACCTTTGGGACTGGCATGAAGTGTCTGTCTTAGATAGATTTCCGTCTTATAGAGAGTAAAGTAAAGGGAGTAAAGAAAGACAGGGACCAGGTGAATAGGTGTTCGTTGTACAGAAGTGTCCGTCTTAGAGAAGTGTCCGTTAACTGAGAGAGTCGACTGTAAACGCAATGAAGCTGCTTGTTAATTTAATTAATCTTTTAGTAAAAACTATTAGTTGTAGTCCAGATTGAAAAGAGAGGAGATTGAACGAAATCCAACAAGCATGCAGGTGTAACAAAACTACCCATGCATTCTTTCGCTTAAAAGACCGCCCTTTTTTAACCTTTTATTAATCACCTGAGAGTTTACTGTGCTGAGCACGTACCTCTGTAGTCAGATTGCCCTCTAAATCCACGCAAAGATAACTGTTTTCCTTTACGGATCTAATCCTGAGTACAACAGCTCCCTCAAAACGCGTTGACACCAGCTCGAGCTTGGCTGTAAAACAAAACGTGAAAAGATCGATCAGTCTTCTGTTAACTTGTAAAGATTATTATGGTTAAGGTTTCCTGTTGTTCAGAAGTGGTTCATTTCTTATCACATTTTTCTTTCCTGTTGATCAAAATTATAGATGTGGGGATGAAATTGCACAGATCATGTCAGCAGTTAAAATTAAAAAAATGTTGTTTATTTTCTTTTTTGATGTGTTTGTTTATCATTTCAATGGTTTTATTGGCATCCTTCTCGTTGCACAACTCTTTTTCAGTTCCTTTAATTCTTTGCTTGCGGCCAAATGGTCTTTCTTTGGTACAATAAATTTAACCTCAGTTTATTAAACAATTTCCCACCGAAAAAGAGACAAAGGCTTCGCAGATGAAAAAGGAAGAAGGGTTTACTGCGTCAGAGGAACTATTAAAACGCAAACAATGGCTGAAGTGAATAGGCAACTCAAAAGTACAACCGATGAATGCATTTCACATGAATTCCTTGGCGCCGATGTTGTCTTTTAAATGAAAATAATTTAGCCGCAAAAGGAGGTGCTGGCACATTGTATTTGACGAAAGAACGAACAAAGATCTCTCGCCCACGTTCGCCTGGCTTTTAAAGGGCAACTCTCGGGAAAATCGACCCAGTTTTTTAAGCTTTCTATGGTTTCCTTATGGCCTGTAATATACCTCTCTGGTAAAATTTCCGATATATCTACGAATCTGATTTTTTTATGATTTTTCGAAAACTCGCTTTTTGCCGCCATTTTGAAAACACTCGGATCTCAGATCGATCACGTGATTTTACGTCACAAGTGTGGAACACGAATTTTTTTGTGAAGATTATAGGAGAAAAACGCACCACATTTCTCTTGCGAATAAAGGAGAAATAGAGCCTCTACTGTTATATTAACGTTCGGGAAATGCATTTCAATGATGGTTCCAGTTTCTTACGATACCTGGGCGTTAGATTAGGTGATTTAGATTTTTTTCTGTGTTTTTTTTAGCAGTGTGATTTTCAGACATATCGACCCGAGGTCAATATTTGTCAACAGCTGAGCTAATAATCTGCACCGTACAATTCAAAGAACATTATTCCTAAAGAAGATTTAAAATTCTGAAGCAACCATTACTGTTACCTGATGAGTGTTGATGCCCTTCATTCCTCATAAATGACTTTATTTATTCCCGGGAAAAGCTTCGCGTATCTTTGAAGAGAACCCCGTCACGGACCGCCCTAGACAACCCGACCTGATTCATGATACTGACCTTTTGTGTTTTGATCTTAGTGTGTAGTAATCTTGTCTGAAATCTGCTGTACCATCCATTTAGCCCTGCTCCTAATTCACTCCTCGCCGAAAGTTCCGATTTCATGATCAATAATATTTTGAATGATGGCCTAATGTAAGAATCTTGTCAAGCTATTCGAGAAACGCTCTCGAGATTGAGGCGTCAATCTATTGCGAAACCTGTCGACTATAAAATTGCCCTGATAGCACGCGTGCCTCGCTTCTTTGGCAATACTTCTCTTTGGGACACAAGTAGGAAAAAAATCAATTACCCATATTTAAATCCCCGTTGCGGTACTTATGGAAAACTCCTCCAAGGACAAAAAAACGGCCACGGGACCGAAAAAGAAGAGAGAACCAGGCAAGCGCTGCGCGGTTATGTTTTGTAACAACACCAACAAAGACGGAGTAAGTCTCCACCAGTTTCCCACCGATGAACCCTTTCGGCGCCAGTGGATCGCTTTTGTCTTAGCAAAGAGGACCGACGACTGGACGCCGGGATCTGGTAATATTTGCAGTTGCCATTTTACGCCAGACTGTTATGAAGGAATGGGTGCGAAACTCGCAGGGTTTGCTAAGAAGGCTTATCTGAAGAAGACGGCCATCCCCACAATTCAGGCCAATCCCACCCCTGAACAAATCCAGGAAGCGCGCTCTCTTAAGAGAAAACGTCCATCTGCGGCAACGCGAAGTGATTCAAAGCGGCAAGTTCAACTAAAGGGGGATATAACGCCAAAAAGTCGTCCAAAAAAGTCTAGTCGAGCCTTGTCTAAACTTACCGCTCATAGGGTGAGTATTAATTTTGTTTTTTTGTTTAGCTACCTTGGCATGAATAAAAAGTTTCTAAAATATCATCAAGATAAAAGATCATAATCAAAACGCAACAGTGTGCCTTCAAGATACAATAATACAATTTACTGAAATCAGGCCAAAGGTTATGGAGCACATGCACCAACAGAAAACTGAAAAAAAAAATTCTTTGTTTATGATAGCTAGTGGCAGATTATAGGAAGACGCGAGAAAAAGAAAAGACCACTGATAAAGTACCGGGACCATCCACAAGTGACAACAGACAACCACCAAGTAACAATCAACCTGAAGTTCCCGAAACAACGGATCTGGCACAGCCCTCAACGAGTGCATGTGGTGACACTTCGTGTTTAGAGACTGGTGCAGGGCAAGAAGAACGAAGTCAGGCTCGGGAGTTTCAAACGGCTAACAAGGGAACTCAAAAAGGACTCCGCCGCCCAATCTGTCGCAGCAAAGGTAGACTTTAATCTTAGTTATATCTTGAAAAATAAGTGTGTTTACAAAGGGTTTAGCCATCTTTTCAAACATTCTTTGCGATGCGACTATCTTTGGTGATTAAGGTTTTTAATCATAGGTACCCAGATTTCTCCAAAGTCCAACACAACGGTGGAAAATGGGTCATAGTGCAACATAGCAGAACTTCCCCCGTTAAAACTGCTCTCAACTTTACGTAAGGAGGCAGAAAATGAAACAGATTATACACTTACGCCGGAGCTACCCGCGTCGTTTGAAGAGGAGTTGTTTGAAGACCTTGACGTTGACGATGAAGAGTACAATCCCTACTTAACATCCGACGAAGATGACGACGAAGGTGGCAGTGAAGATGAAAAAGAATCTGGAAAGTCAAAACGGTAAAAAAAAAAAGTAAAGATGAACTATTTACACAAGCCGTTGATGAGTATTCATAAGCTGCAGTAACGCCGGCTTGATTTAAACTCCGCACCACTCTATATCCCTCCTTTTTAACATATCCGCCCAAAGAAACAATTATAACCCCTATTTCTATACTCTCCGTTCAATATACTGAATGTTTCATTGTTGTTGTTGCTAATATCATGCAGATCTATTGGAGAAACGCAAAAGTTGAAGCCACATGAGGAAAGGAAATTTATTGTCTTCGAAACAAATCTGTTGAGTTTGTTTGCTTGTTGCCCCATCTGTGCTGGCCACGCAGAAGCAAAAATTTCGAAAGAAATCGGGACTATGATTTAGGTCCACTATCACTGTACGGAAGAAAATTGTCAGTTCAGCAATGTGTGGTGCAGCCAGCCATTTTCTAATGGAAAAATGCCAGTTGGGAACTTGTTGCTTTCTTCTTCAATTCTTTTAACGGGTAAGTCTCCCTATTGTTATCTCTTTTTTAAGTTGCGTTGTATGCCTGGTCCGTTGAAGACCTATTGACAGGAGATGCGGCTACTTTATGGTCTTGAACGAAATGAACAGAGTATGGCAAATCTGTATCTAGTTCCTGAGTGAAGGCCGTTGTATTTTTTTCCTTTTGTCACAGGAAATTCTGCCGCTAAAACCTTACGGATGTTTAACATTATGAACGTGGCGTGCATATCAGAGAGCACCTACTACCGTCACATCAAATCGTACGTAAATCCCACTATTATACAGCAGTGGAAATCACATCAACAGCAGCTCTTTAATACTCTTAGCAGTCAGGATAACGGACTGGTTCTGGCACAAGGATGGAAGGTGCGATTCCCCTGGTTACTCCGCGAAATTCGGTTCATACACGTTACTCGAACAGCAAAAGAACAGGGTGTTGGACTTCCAACTAGTTCAGGTTAGTGATTCTAGTATGTAATTCCAATGTCTCCCACATTTTTTAAAAAATAACTATGTGATTTCCAGTGTTGAGGCAAAATAAAAATATATCGAAACGTTTGATCCTTATTAGAGCAACGAGGTGCGGAACAGTTCTTGGATGGAACATGAGGGTTTAAAACGGGCCATTCAAGTCGTTTCTAATGCCAGACTGCAAATAGCGGAGATCATCACCGACAGACACAAGCAGAATACCGCTTGGATTCGAACGAATTTGCCTGACTCTCGACACTATTTTGACATATGGCATGTGTCTAAAGGTAATGAGGGCTAAAAAGTCAACCCCAATAGTTTACTCGAGATAACAATCGCATCCACACAACGACTAAAATAGTTTGTAATACATTCTATCCAGTTAAGCTCCGGTTGTCGCGTATGGAATAATTCGTTTTCTGACATATATGACCCTCATTCTGAACAGGTTTATGCAAAAAGATTGACAAATTAGCGAAAAAAAAAGAGTGTGAAGATGTCGGTGAGTGGCGACAGTCTGTATCAAATCATATGTATTGGTGTGCTGCCACGACACCAGATGGTAATGGGCGTATGATGCAGGAAAAATGGAAAATATTACCCCTGCACATCCAGAACATTCACGTCAATCAGAGCAGCGAACTCTACAAAGAGTGTGGACATGGTGAACTAGAGGGAGAAGCAAGGGATAGACTTTGGCTTCAACCAGGTTTGTAGACAAAAAAAAAAAATAACATCCAGTAATTCCTCTATTGCCATCTCAAGTTATAGAATAGAAGGCTACATTTTCTGTCAGAATCAAGGAAAACCTTTTAATTAGAATAAGGCCAGTGTCATTAACACTGTTTAGATGACAGAAAAGGTGTCCACTAATTCACTAATCAGGAAATTAAAATGAACCACTCTAAAAAAAAAACGACAAAACGTTATAACGTGACGAGAAAAAGGCACATATATACAAACATTTACAAACAGTCACCTTTATGTACGGGAATTTTGACGACAACTAGGTCCTCAATTTCACAGGCTCAACTGCTGCTGTCAAGCTCGAGGAGCTGGTAACAAAGCCCCAACTGCTGAAGGACATTTCTCAGCTGTCCCCTAAGTACCAGACTTCCGCCCTTGAAGCCAAACATAGCCTTGATCTACACTTCGTCCCAAAACATACCGCTTTCTCGTACTGGGGGATGTACACAAGGTTTGTGTCTCTAATGGATTAATAGTTACCATAATAAACTTTTGAGATTGGTCTATTGTTTTCCTTTAATTTCTTTTTCAGTATTATTTTCTTCTTCTAAGCTATGGACTCTTTCCTTTTACTTAAAGTTAGCCTAATGGTTCTTTCCCCGCCCCTCTAAAAATATGAACCTTTCAGACTGTGCCTTTCTGCTCTGCACTACAATGAAAATGCTGACAGGATGCAAGCTGTAACTGTAGACGGGAGACCACGCTATGCCATCAGGTTTCCTAAAGCCAAACACGGGGGATATTCAGTGAGAGAAGTTAAAACAAAAGCAACCTATGGTGGGTAAATAGTTAAAACATAGCCTGTGTATAGTCCCCCCCCCCTCCCCTTGGATAAAAATGGAGAAGGGGCCCCTTCTCAGCTTTTTACTGAGGGGAGGGGGCGCTGTACACAGGATACTTATAACATAGATGTTTCCATTCCCCTGAAGAAGAATATTGTAAAAATTAAATTGCTGTTCTGTATATTTTGAGATCATTTGTTAAGGCAACCATTATCTGCAGCCACATTTGCTTATGGTAAAAATGATTTTCACATAGCACAGTAACCTGTGAATTTCATGTCACACAGACAGATATGACATCTGAATGAAAACATTTCAATAACTAAACTTGAGGTTCACTCCTACAGTATTACGTACCTTTTTATTTTAGGTTATTGCTCAAGTACCATAACCAAAGTCTTTGCCGGCTATGAAGACAATTCAAGGGCCTTAAAGACCTACATGTTGAACCTGCAAGTGAATACCCCACCACCACTTGCTGCCTCCATAGAGAGACCCAACAGAGAGGAGGCAATAAATTCTTTCATTAGCAGATACAATCGTTCCAGCCTAGTCAACTAAAGAAAGACTAGCATGCCCTTCAGTATGGAATGCTTGAAAAAACTATTTTAGGCTAAAAATTATGTCACTACTGTGACTAAAATGATCATGTGCTATATGGTCTTCACTTGAACCGGACACCTGGAAGAAAAGTATCCAAGAAAAAGTTTTTTGAAAACAGAAGATTCTGAATTTTGTTTCAACAATGCATACGTTGAAACCTTTAAACAGTTTGAACTCAACTTACCTCTCAGGAAAACAGCTCTCAAATTCATAAATGTCATTGGTCCATTGCAAACTGAAAATTAATGATTAGATAATCTTCTTCCAAGTACCCTGGTTCAAGTAGTGGGACTGTAAACTGTGAACAACTTTGTGTATCGTTGTTGTCTAATCATTTATTAATATGGAAGATAGAAACAAGTCAATTGAGAGTATTTTTTTTTTAAATGAGGATTAACCATCCAATCACAAGCCTTGAGCAAATAAAAAGAATAATTATGTATTTCCCACACATCACCGGGCTTTAAAAAACCATGTAGTCTTAAAGTGAACTTTGTAGTTCCCCTTTCTTTGTTGACACTTCCATGCTACATATTTAAAAGTAAGGGGCATTTTGTTTGCTGGTAGCAACCATTTTCATGGCAACCAAGTATCCCTACGCCAATCTTCCAATGGTGAGTGAGAAAATTACATTATAATATTCTATATACAGCAGGGTTATTTGAAAAATATTTTATATTTATTCATCTGCATATTGAAATCCTGTATACTCCATCTCATCATCCAGCCTTTCAGGCTCCTGGAAATGAGCCCGTATGCAGTTAACTGCACATGATGGTAAGGGAACTCTTATGTCCTTTCCAAGGGAGCCCCAGCACCACCTTACCAATTGCCTGTACGCAATGTGCCTGCTTTTTTTATGATCTGATCCCTCATATGCCGAGGCACCATACTGCTGCTTGTATCGCAGCCATGCAGCTTGTAACACCCAGTAATTCAGGCAAACTGCCTGGAATCCTGGGTGTTCCACGATGCACTTTGGAGGCTCCTCCATATTTTCAACGTCAACTGCCTCCAAATTTTTACGCTTTACAACATCCACCTCTTGGCAGCAGATGTTTTCCTCCTCCCGCCACATTTTCTGGCAGTAGCCACACAAGCACCTTGCAAACAATCAAGAGCAGTTATGTTTTTTCATGATCAAAAGTGAATGTCTGGCTAATGAAAGGCAAAAAGACAAGTGTTGAATATTGACATTTTCATTCTGCACCCGAAACTTATCAAACTGCCTTATTCACACTTCAATGTTTATGGCCTTATTAAAGTATCTCATGTCCATAACCAAAAAATAATCGAGAACAAAGTTCCTGTGGCTATATCAAATCAAATGCAATATTATTGTGAATAAAGTTACACAACCATTATTATGCTCAAGACAAAAACATAAGTGAATATAAATATGTCTCAGCCTCGAATATTATATACCGAGGAGAAGAAACCTTTATGGAAGCAGTTAATATTCACATGGGCGCATAAAGACCAACTTTTCACAATAACATCAGGATACACGAAAGCTAGAATAATGACTTGTTAACCACATTCATTGACAGAACGACACACATTAAAGATTAGTGAACGACTTGTAAGGGCAAAACTATACAGCGCCTTTCAAATGTTATGTAGACTGTATAACAACTACATGAACATGAACAGCTGTCAATGGGGTAACGATAAACAAATGTAAATATATTTACTACAGTCAACAGATTACGAGAGCGTAGTTTTGGTAAGAACCTATGCTTGTGGCAAAACCACTATTAAACCAGAAATTTAAAAAAAATACACTGAAGTAACTTGCCCAGATTATCATTTCGAGCAGTCCGTTGCAAGGGAAAATTACGCTTTCGAGCACTTGTGCATGTGAGAAACATTCAAAATTATAAACACTCCGATTTCCATAAAAAAGGTGCGTGTTTAATTAGTCATTTTCCTTTTACAATTTAGATAATCCATAACATTGATGAAATCGAGCGATATTTGGATCGCATTGTACATAACAAATGTTATATACCATCTGGGCACTCACCATTCTTCACTATCGAGATCGCAGCGACGCGTGGCAGGCTCGATGTTTTCAGTCGACTCACGAACTTCGTCAGCCTCGTGAGATCTTCCAGGCGGCTCAAAACGCCAGGGTTGAATCCCTGTGAAGGGCTGCCCTCTACTTTCGGGTGCTTCGCATTCTAAAAGTTCTTCTATATCTGAATAATCGGACGAAGAGGTAGAGCTATCGCTCAAAGAACTAGAGTCGGCCATATTAGAGATCATTTGTTGTTCCACACGTGTGACGTAACGTCACGTGATCAACGAAATCGAAGCGTTAATGGCGGAAGATCGAGTGAGCGGCAAATTGGACACTTTCAATTGCGATTTCTGACCCAAATAGATCGCGTAACATATATTTCTTGGTGGTATTACAATAAGGGAAACATTTGCAAGGTTTTCCCGAAAAATGATGTCCTACGCGAGAGTTGCCCTTTAAACAGCAATTTTGTGGATTCCAAAAATTCCGCTACACTGGTTGTAAACATCAGAAAGCATTTTATACGTGTACTGTTAACTGTTCACCTTCCGAGAGGAATTTGGTCAAAATACCACATTGAGTAGAAAAACTTGACTAAAAATATACAACACATCGTTTAAGGTTAGTGGGAATTTTTTTTTTCTCATTTGGCCCTATGCACAAGGCTAGACATACTCGGAACTTCCAACTAAGCTCTGTTAATTCGTGCTACATAAACATCATCACGAATAAAACTGTTTCTTACATTGTTTTGAATTATGATTATTAAATAGATTGTCATCCAAAGGCTTAACTTCATAAAGACGCCTTAATAATGAAGTGTAATTCACAGTACCACGGAAAACGTACTGCGTAGTAGCTTTCATTAAAATAGGCCGCACTGGGAGACATCTTGCACCGACTTAATAGGTGTTAGCAGCCGATTTATCACACGCCTTTGTGGGTGACTGGGTTAAGGGTTTCTTGAGAAAGACTCTACAAAAGCAACTTTTTTTTTTTTTTTCTGCAGAACTCACAGGTGCCATACATTGAGCGATAAATAGAAGCTTACAGTGTTTTACGAGTGCTAATTATTGCATTGTATGTCAACGTTACGTCGGGACCTTTAGTGGCGCAAAAGCAAAGCAAGTGGAATTTGTTTCACAAGTGCAAGTGATTTACTATGACGCGAGTTATAGTATAAATGACGCATTATTTTGGGAGCTGAGAACAAATCTAGCAGTATCGCTTTGTCCAAAACTGCAAAGATTTCGTGCAAATATCTGCAATGACACCTTGAAATCGAGCTAAATCGGTAGTAAGTGTGACAATAAACAGCAGGTGACTAATAAGATAATCTTTCTTTGTAAGTAGTTTCTTGGAAATCGATTTTGCGATAAATATTAGCGATAAAAAATCACGACGTTTCGACCTCTCCGAGGTCATTTTCAAGTGTATAAAAGTTCTCTAAATTAGCATAGATAAGTTAAAAGCAAGTTATAATAGATAAAAATGTAGTGAACGCTAAAATGTGATAAAATATGTAAAAATGTAAAAAGTGCTAAAAAAATATTTATAAAGTCAAAAAACAATGGAAATAAAACAATGTTAACAAGAACTACTCTAAACAAATAATTTGGCGCGAATTGAATCGCACTGTTTGTTAAGTGTCGGTTTCAGTTCTTGGATAAAAAACATTTCAAAAATAAGGCAGTCAAATTTGTTCTGACACTTCCTTAAGATTCTAAAACTTTGTGCGATGTCTTCAGGCTCCATATCATGCTGCTCTCTGAGGTGGTTTCCGATTGCCGATCCTTTGTGTTCTTCAATTCGTTGGTGTAGGTGTCGGCACGTGTAGCCGACATAACCTGCATCACACAGGCTACACTGGAAAGAATACACCACGCATTGTTGACTCACAAGAGGCGGCTTGTCTTCCTTGACCTTAATTTCATCTTTGATCTTCCTACTTGTGTAAACTGGGCTGATGTCTGCGTTGATCTTCCTACTCAGGTCAGCCAGCTGTTTACGTACTACGTTTGCTGATTTCTGGTCTTTGAAGGGCAACACGATTCTGATTGGGGCTTCTCTTTTATCAGCCACTTGGGTGTGTGAATCCTCGGACACTTTGGATTCAATGAATTGGCGAATGGTTGACTGCACAAGGTCGTCTGGATAGCGCAGTCGGGAGAAGATCTCTTTAAGGCGTTCACATTCCTCGTGAAAAAACTTCCACGTAGACGAGAGTTTAAACGCACGGTTAAGCATGGTGTTCAGGAGTGACCGTTTGTATCTGGCGTCAACGCACTTTTTACATTTTTACATATTTTATCACATTTTAGCGTTCACTACATTTTTATCTATTATAACTTGCTTTTAACTTATCTATGCTAATTTAGAGAACTTTTATACACTTGAAAATGACCTCGGAGAGGTCGAAACGTCGTGATTTTTTATCGCTAATATTTATCGCAAAATCTTTCTTTGATTTCAATAATTCCACCTCATTCTTTGCATTTGCACATTTGTCGGAAAAATTCAACCAGGATTAGCCGATACACGCGCCGCTTTTGGCGGGAAAATCAGTCATTGTTCCCCGCAGCGATTAATTGTCACCGCTTTACAGTACAAAGATTATCCACCGACTTTTTGTACAATAGTGTCTTTAAATACAGCTCATAATCGACTTTTAATGCCTGGATAATAGTATAGCTTAACACTCTTTATGAGTTTGATGATGCTACTTAAGTTTATGACTCTTTCCTGGCGGATTACTAACTAGTCGTCAAAGTAACTGAGATATACAAATTTATCAGAGACCTTCTACATATGTACCCGAAGAGTGTCAATAATTTTGCTTCCGAACTAAAATTGTCGGAGAAGATTAAAGCAGTTTAACCTGTAGGCTAAAACTTGAGAGAGATTACACTCTTTTTTTTTTTTATAAGAATATTGT